TCCTGGCATGGTTGCACCTTGTGGAACGAAGTTCCAGCCAGTGTAGCTCGCGGGATCATTGCAGCACTGAAGCCCGACCACCACGTCAAGGTGGCAGCTTTAGGTCTCATGGTTACGAACCACCAGACGTCTACAGACGTTTAATTTATGAGCTCTTCGGCATCTTCAACCAATGAATCTGGCATCTCTTTGAAAGCAGTCCATGCTTGGTCTGCCCTAACCTGTAATGGAAGCACATATGTCCTCACATATGACCATCATTTTCCACGAGCATTGAATTACAAGGAATAGTGGACTTTTGAGTAACTAGGAGGTACATGGGTAGTCAATATGGACTCACTTTTGTTAAATCTTCTTGGAGGCTCAAGTTTTCAGCACCGTTCTTACAATTGCTTCAGCAACTCGTGGTTTGGCCCATCAAGAGGTTAAGGGTTGAGTGGGCGTGAACTGTCTACCACCTGCAGGATGCCTTGCCATAACGCAATACATATTGCTCCTTTCACACACAACTGCCACATAACTTATTGAAATGGTGAAATTTTGCGAACTTGTGCAAGCCCGGCGGGTTCGAGCAACCGATCTCCCTGTAAGTTCGCCCCTTAACCACTGGGCTGTCAATCTCGAATACGAACGTTCATCTCACGCCTTATCCTATATACTAACTTAGGTAGTTCCCTAATTGTGGCGGTCTGTTTCAACTCTGCTTTTCATGCCGTTAGATTTCAGCTCATTTGTCGCATGCGCTTCTCCCCACTCCTTATTCCATCTAGTATTTCTCAGCTGTACGACGGTTGGTCATCCATATGAGATATTACTTCACCTCTATCTCCCGTGTTGGTGGTCGTTGTAACACTAATTATGATGTTTTAGCTTTATACCTTTGAACATCAACTGAGTAGCACTCTCGGAAGTTTGGCTACAACCCTGATCACTTGGATTCCCATATGGCTAAGCCACAAACTGAAGATGTTTCTGCAAGTTCCCATCCGAGCCCTGTTCTACGAAACGGAACTTCGGACGAGGTAATCTTTTGACCTATCTTCAAACTGATATTAAGGCCTCACAGTCTACCTCCTGCTTAGCCGACAAAATGCGGCAGTTGTGCAATATGTTCAAAACCAATAAGTTCTGTGAATGGTTGGGATATGAGTGGCTTTATTCGATTGTTGATCGGTAAGTTTTTAGTCTCGAATATCAGCATATTTTTAGTGAAATATTCCTTGGCCCCAATGACTTTCAGCTAATTCTGCGTGAACATTTCCCTACCCTTAAAACACGAAACCTACGGCGTAGTCACTGGGGCATTATCCGGCGAATGATCGGAAGGCCACGTCGCTTCAGCGCAACCTTTCTCGCAGAGGAACGTCAGAGCGTCCACGGAAAACGAAGGAATTTACAGTATTTGCAACAGGTTGCGTCGACGGGCTCTTTGGGACCGATGGCCTCCGAACATCTTGATAGCTTGCTCAACTGTCTTCCCTTAACTACACGTATCCCGCCTCGCTTGCCCACAGGGACCAAATTATGCATTCGGTGCGTGCTATTATTTGAAAACCACTTATGCACAGACTGTATTCTCCAGTTCAAGGTCTTTTCCTTGGTGTAGTGCAAGAATCCTATCAAACAAATCGTCACTACGCTGTATGGGTCACAGATATGATTCATTCAGCCGATCCAAACAGTCACACGGCAGCTGATTTCAGCGGCCTTCGGATTGTACCAGATGAAGACGCGTTTCCTCTTCCAAACCAGCCTCTACCGGAATCACTTTCTTTGTCTTCCTTACGGTATCACTTCAAAAATAATGAATCAGAAAAGTCCCGTTCTTCGTTCACATCGAATTATCAGCTGAGCGGACAATACAACCTCAACCCACTATGTGATATAACTAACATTCGACCGGAATATGAGAATCGTAAGTCTCCATTTGATGTCTATCTCCTTACCTCTAGGTCCAACATCCACTTCAATTGGCCCGCTACTCAGTGAGAGTGTTTGCCCCGGTGATCACCCACTGGGACAGAATAATCCTACGGCTGATGATAGCATTATGATCTCGAACATGAAGCACACCTCGAGTGAAACAGCTGGTTGTCCGTTGAGTGTGCCGGTACCGCATGTGCCCGATGCGCAACCCAGTACAAGTTTGTTGACCAGTTTGGTACGTTCGACCCGCCAACATCATTTTTTCTGCTTTGCAATCCTTGGCTGAAATTGGTTATAACTTCGCTATACTGCATACTCTTGTCGCATGCTTTTGTGGCAATTAAGTGTCTATATATATAACTGCTGTATGTTGCCACTTATTATTTGCAAGCTTTTTGCATAGAACCCGAGTTCCTACACATCACGTGGTGTGTTTCCTGTAAAGTAGAATATAATTGACTTGGATCGGGACTAGAAGAAAAATACAAACGAATGGCGAAGTTCTGTATGACTGAGCCCACTGTGCTCGAAAATTTTGGAGACAAGTTGCTTGGTATGTGAGTTGATCAAAAGTAAACTTTGCTTGCATCGGGAATTTCCTAATCTCTTGGGGGCCGTTTATCAAGAGCACGAACGCCCATTTACCGCGAGTATCGCAATTTTAATATAGTGCGGCTTGAGAGATACGGTTGTGCATCGGGATGGAAACATTGTCTATGGAATTTTGAAATGGGTGTTCAAGACATACGGGTACATGTGTGGAAGAGTAAATGAATGATCCATTGAGAACACGCTTCGTGGCAGTTGTTTCTTAGGTAGGATGAGGAGTCAGTGATTGGCTTCTCAAGCCAATATGTCTTATGATTGGATGGCTTATATGGGCCATCATAGCGCTTCATGATGTTCGGTGTGTGGTGTATGGTTGATTGATCCATCAAACCTTGCTCACCCTTCAATTCTTCTTGAAACTCATCCACAACCGAAACCGTATCCTTGTTGCTCATATTTTGTTTTCGAATAGCCTTTTTTGTTTCATGGCCTACTACGGTGAGTAGAATGCCACGTGCTTGTGAAGAATTCCAAGATTGTTGAAGCGTCACGAATAACCGTACTTCCTGTTCGATTCAGACCATCCAGGCAACGTATCCGGAAAACACAGCTCATCTTTTGTTCTTTTTCACTAGTGGTTGCGAATAACTCAGTACGTTAATTCATGGTTTCGTTCTCAATAGCTATACTATGAGACGGTAGTTCATCTAATTTCTCCTATTTGCCTCTTCAAATGCTAGCAGTTAAACTTATACGATGCACCATAGACGGCTACATCGTGCTTGTGATAGCTCATGCGCAATTTATATGCGACTCGATTCGAGGCAAGTTTCGGTGACCACGTGAGCTCTTAACGTATACGGCGCTAATCATTCGGTTCTCAGTCGAGCGGACTAGTTACTTCCAAGTCGAAAGAATACCATGCTGACTTGGCCACGTGCTCTGTATGCCAGTCGACCGACATCCTCGAAGAATTATTTCTGCACAACCACGTAGATTGTGGAAACAAGCCAGGGGAGTCAACTAATGAATTGGCAGCGAAATGTGATGCCGTTACCAGTAAACTCAGATGCACTGGTGATTACGGTCTCCCTGGATAGTGAACCCGGGATATCAATGGTTAGAGACGTTGTCAGACATGGCTCAGTCGTGCTCTCAGTGACGCTCATGGATTCAAGCTATTGTATTCAATGCATAGCTCCCTTGGGCGAGATGGCCCAAGTGGTTAGAGCGCGAATTTACTGACCGGAAGGTCCATGGTTCGAATCCGACCTCCGCCTCTCGACTTCTCCTGTCTAGGCCTGGGAAACCTGGCAGTATCCCAGCCCTCGTGCTTCCTTCGGGTGGCATGGCAGCTAGGCACCGGGAGGGTGCTACAGCTGAACGCTTTCTTCTTTATTTTTCTCACTTAAAAGTCCACCGAAAGCTCTGTATTTGCGCACCAATTTTTCAGCTCCTGCCTGCTATGTGCAGCAACCTAACCCACCTCCCCGAATCCTCGGTGGACGAAACTTGCGGCTACAACCACTGTAAGACTAGTACGCGATTCTCGATATTGATTATGATGATGATATTTTCAAGCTCCTATGACATTTTCCTGTTCATTCTGCAGGCAAAAATCTGCCGCATTTTGGAACAAAAGCGCACGTCCGTCGTAACTCTTCGAGAAATGAACAACCTTGCGGAAGTCAAAGTATGGTGCATACTTTGGTTGTCTCCAACTATTTTACTCATAGCTTTCAGAGGATCTAAACAGCCTTACTGTCCAGTTTCAACACAGCTACGCCACACTGATCCTTCATCTCAACAAACTGAACCAAGATTTGAAGTACCACATGGACATTGTTCTTATGCATGTGGCAACGGTAAGTTTTGTAGTTGCTTTGTTACCAGGATATTACCCTTTCGCCATTCTTACATAATGTCTGTAAAATCATGTATCGTTGAACATTCAACGGATAGTCTTACGGGCTGTCAGTATGGACACGCAATGTCCGCGCTTTCGTCCTGTTTAGTAGGAGAACCTCACAGTTAAATCATTTCCTTCTAACAATGAGTTTTTCCCCTGAAGGAACCGAAACCAGTTTCATCATCATCATAATGGATGGAACGGCTGCCGGTAATGCAGTGCTTTTTAAAAACAGTGAGTGAAGAGTGGAAATTCCTTCAGTAATAATCAAAGCGAAATGTGCTAAGACAAGATTTTTAGCCTGTCAAAAAATTCCGAGGTGCTTTTATCTCCAAGGCTTACAGGTGGCGTGACTTGCACTTTTACCCGGTAGAGTACCCAACCAAGCGCGATGCAGATCGCGCAGGCTCTTTGCATAAAACGGGTAGCGTCCTTGGCGCAGAATTCTTTTAGTTCATATCCATATCTCCGGCTTGGTTTGTATCGAATTTAGGTAACGATAGAGATCACGGATTAATCCACTAGAGACTACGACGTAATCACTCTCTGTGTCGATGAGCCTTCACTGTTTGCAATTCATGTTTGCGAATAAGTGTGAGTGAGTGTTTTGGATCTGTTCTTTTGATGTGACAGATTTTTCTGCCAATTCAGTGGACTTCTTAACTCTACTGAACTCTGTCCACAGCAGATGGAGTACTTTGTCGTAGCAGTGTTTGTCGCGAATCGCATTTTGGCGTCCTACATCTCACCATCTAGGTGGGATACCTTCCAACTGAAGTAGATACCACAATGGGCCCCTCTATCAGAAGAGGTTCAATGTGGACCCCCGTTCGAAGAGAGACCGCTCTAGAAGATGGTCCACGGAGGCCCACAACTCTCCAAATTTGCTACGGTATATTTCCTTGAAGAACTGGTGCAGTCATTGCCTAATAAGTTCATTTCGAGCTGCATCTAGCAACAGAGGCTGTGTTAGATACTTAGTAGCTGCATACAGCAAAACAGCAGCTGAGGAGCGGTTAACATTTGTTCCTCTGACATCACGTGTTGGCTGTCATGACCGGATCTCATCCTCTTTAACTTTCTTGAATTAGGGCTAGTGCTCATCACCGTTACTCACAACACTTCAGTGTAGATGGATGTAGCTGTTTGCGCTTGGATACTTCTTCAATTTGTTGTTTAATCCTTTTCTAACGTGTTTTGCATCGAGTCGTTACATACGTGTGAAGTTGGTTCATATGAGGCGGGATGGCTCCGTGGTTAGAGTGCGAAAGTCTTCGGCTCGAGCCCGACCAATTAAATGAAAATAAGTCTAGAATATGGATTAGACACTTGTTCGTTCACAACTACTCTCCGTTTGTGTGAAATCCGAAAGGGTGAGCTCAACATAACGTAACGAACTGCATAATTCCCTCTGGGCGTAAAGTGTCCGAATACATACGTAAACTGCTTGGTTCTCGTTTTATCTTTTTAGCAACGCTCCATTTTCTGGCCCCTTTTGATACAACCCGTGCCATCCCACCTACCGCCAATCTTGTCTGCCATAAGCGCTTGCTTCGTATCCATGTTTACTCAACTTTCTAGATACCTGTTCCGACCACTCCTTATGTTCTTTCAACCTATGATGGTGAGATTTTTGAGGCCGTTCCTGTGAGCGGAGCCAGTTCTGAGTATGGATACGTTACAGTTGTACCTACTCAACTGACAGAGACGGGTACAGCTGGAATGACGGATGGTCTTTCAAGCCACCATGGACCGGAACAGCCAGATAGGGCTTACGGTTCGAGTGGCATTCCAAAAAGTTTTTACGATGGCCAGTTTGACGCATCTTGCAACGATCCCTATGGACAGGTTCGGTTTTCCCTTAGAGTTACAAAACGGTTACTTATATACACCAGTTGCATACCGTTGTGATATCTCTTGTTACTCTCTCTTGTTACTCTGTTTTCGGTTGGCGTTTCCGGTTTTGCTGTTATTGTTTATTTTTGAATCTTACAAAGGTGATATTTTTTTGATACGAATTCGCCGCTTTCAGATAGCTCAGGAAAGGAATCTGATGCAGTTGAAGCACCTCACGGATTGGCGCCGCCGTTGTGATGATGAGGCACAGGAGATGGTTAGCCGAATCAGATTATATCAGGTAAAGCCTGTGCTTTCTGCTTCTCTATTCACCTCTTTACTGCCCACTTACACACGCCATATACACGTCCAGAAGGGATCGACAAACGTATGCGAAATGTGTCTTGCCTGGTCTATGCAATATACATGACATTGGCCCATCCAGTTTGAACTGCCATGACCAGAGCAATGAAAACCACTATTGGATTTGCGCTGGTTGCGGTCTTCAGGTAGAAGCAGAACTATCAGGACCCGCCGAAGTCTTTCTCGTTTAAAAGTATACTTTCTTTGCAGGACGTGCTCGAGGGTGAACAAGGTTTCTACAGCACCTCCGGAGCTCACATAATTTCGGGACATACCATTGAATTATTCTACTCCATTCAATGAGTTATTCTACTGAAGGATGACCAGGTATAGCGAACACAGGAAGTGGTCTGAAAAGATGGAACCAGATGTAGTTTTGAAAATTGATACTGAGAAACATGTTTCCTATTCTGGGGATACTTCAGGTCAAGTCTATGGTACACATGGTCGTTGATATGTAATCACTGTCTAGTCGATTCGAGTATTGCTTTGGTTCTGTTGGAAGGACGCCAGATTTCAAGATACGTTGTTTGTTCTAAAACAGATTGTATCGTCAACCCTTTGTTTATCTTGCCCGTTCTGTCAAAGTGGTGCCTTGTTCATAGGGCAAACTACCAAACGGATTTATTCTGTGGCTGGCTTGACTTAAGGCTCCATCTTAGTGTACTGCATTTCGTTTCTCTCTGTCGGCGTTTTAACCGCCCTATTGTTGCTCTCTTTGTATCTGTTGCCAATGACTTGTGGTTTGGTGAACCGTTGCAGCAATCTTCATTTGACCCGGCGAAGTTCCTTGGACAGAATGTGTAACTGGGCAGCTGAACGACTCTAGATATCGAAACTAAGGTATGAATAGCAAGTCCAACGGGCTTAGGAATTACCCCTTGGATCCACGAACATCATCCATTTGACCATGAAACAACTAACTTCTAGACATCTTCCGGTAGACTGCCGGCTGCTTGTTTTTAAGTTGTTCGCTTCGTTAAATTTAGTGATTCCGATTCGACCTTCCACTGCTCATAGGCCGTCACGAAGAGACTGGACCTTACCGTGGTGTGGCGGTTTGTGTACCTCGGAGATCCATTGAGCTATACTGGGGGGTGTCCGCGAGACACTCACAAAGTCTCTCATACCAGGTTGGTCATTGGTTAGAGGTCTGACGAACACAGTCTCCTGGCCCTCCAAATTGGGGGTTGGAACATGTATGGCGACTTGTTCCGTAGAAAAAGTAATGCATTTGCATTTCCCCGCCAAACACCGCTGCCTTGCGGTTAGGCTTTTGAGCCAAAGGCTTTGGTTGAGGACCCTAATCGTCCTCCTGTCTAGGTGTGGGCGCCCTGGCAGTATCCCAGCCCTCGTACAACCATGACCTACACAACTAACAATACTCTCATGCCACATCGGCCGTCGCGTGGTGCCATCAACCGGGTCGCCTTACTTGCTGCATACAGCAGGGCGTGTAAGCGAAAACATGCTACTGCTGACGCCTCCCTTCTTTCACTTTCACGTTTTCCGTCTTCCACCCTCCCCCGCCCAAATTTGAATACTTT